CAAAACAAAACAAGAGTGACTTTGAGGATAAAAAACTAATCAACCCCACCTCCAGGTCCTTCCAGATACAACATTCCCATGGGTCGTGGGAACATTTCGACCAACATTTCCAAATGGTCGGTTCAGATCACTGGTTTGCCCTCCCCCTGGATCCCCAACTACATCACAGGGTGAAGAAGACAGTTTCCTCTGAATAAAGAGGCAATTTTGTTTTTATTTCCTGGGATGACTAACTCCCAGCCCTCTGACTTCCCTTGCTCCCCAGCTGTGATGGGGAGCATAATTATTAAAAAGCAATTGGAACATCCTAAAGCCCTGACTCGGTTTTGTGGCTCTGGGGTAAGACGATAACACCTTCACTCCCTCTAACCCCTCTCTGTCCCACTCTTGAAGAGACTTGTACGGGTGGGCTGTTTTTCCACGCTCTGGGAATGCTGGGTTGTGGGGCAGAGAGAGGCTGGCTGGATCCTCGTCCAAGATCCCTGTAGTGAGGGCAGCTTTGTTGGGCCAAAGAGACAAATAAAAACAAACCAAAAAGGCATTGCTCCATTTGGAGGTTGAAGGCTGGGCCCCAAACGGCGAGCAGCTCTCCCCTGCAGCACGGTTCTCCCTGGTGGTGGGCCTCTTGATGCTAGCTGTTGTTCTCGGCCGTGAGATATTTCAGGGCAGCAAAGCCATAGACTCTCCCCTGCAGCACGGTTCTCCGGGCCTCTTGATGCTAGCTGTTGTTCTCGGCCGTGAGATATTTCAGGGCAGCAAAGCCATAGCGGCGGGACATGTCCTGCTGAAACTCTTCCTTCAGGGTTTTGAGACAGATGCGGTATTGCTTGTTGGAACGGAACTTAGTGATGTCGAAGCTGGGGGCATGAGGCATGTGGATCATGTAGGCGTTGGGCAGCACGATGAATTCATATTCCTGGAAGAAGACGAGAGAGGCGTGAGGACGTGCCAGAGCCCGCGGTGAGGGATGGGGAGGGCCCGTGTGAAAGAGCGAATGACTAAGCAGCTGAATGAGCTGGAGAATGACCAACCAGCAGGACAGCACAGCAGCTCTGGAGTGGGACAACAGTTCAAAGCTACTTCCATGACCCTGGACAAAACACTTGACTTCTCTGAGCCTTCATTTTCTCATCTATAAAGTGAAAATAACAATATCTGCCTTGAAGGATGACCCTGAGGGTGAAACTAACAACGTATGGCTAGTGCTGAGCAGAGCTCCAGGCCCACAGAAAGCTCTTGAGAAATGTGAGCTCACACGCTAGGGTGACACACATTACGGGACATTGTCTTGCTCAACTGACCAACATCTGTTTCTGTGATTCCTCATAGGACTTGATGAGAGGTGACTGCCTCAGGAGATTAGTATAAGAGAGGGGACAAAAAAAGAATAAAAGATGACAATGAAAGCAAATGTCCCACTGGACTGAAGCTCATCGAGAACAAAACCCTCCCTGACACATCCTTATTTCAAGTCACACCCTCATACAGTATTCTCAATGGGGCAGAATATAGCTAAATACTCAGATCACAAATAAAAGGCCCCTGAATAGCCAAAGCAAGTGACACAAACTTAGGAGATGTAACTCAGAGGAGAAGCCTGCACACTTTCACGCAGATCTATTCGTTCTGATTTTGGACATAATGTCTGACAAGCTTTGGTCACCTAGTTTCCCAGCCCAGAGCAGATGAGATTAAAGGGACACTCAGGATGGGGCAAGGCAGCTGTTGCAGATGGAAGAATATGAACAGCAGCTAGACACGACAGCAGACGGCGAGGAGCGAGAAAAAGCGGGAAAAGAAAATGCAAGAATTCCCGGAGCTCAGCTGGGACGTTTCACGTAGGGACAAAGCACCCTACCAATGCCACTAGCTCCTGTGGGTGTGGCTGTATCACCCGTCAGGTGTACACTCATTATTTCTTTATATCACTGGGAAGAGTAAAATTACGTCTGGCAAGTGTGACCAGCAAAGAAAGGAAAACACGCAACAAATTTTCAAGAGTTCTCTCAAAACGGTCTAAAACAAACAAAGCCCAGGCCTCGGTGCTGGAACAACTAACCTTCCCCGAGCCACCACCTCATAACATTGCTGGACACGTGAATATTACATTTCTTTTCCTTCAAGCAGAAGCTGAGGCAGATGAAACAGTGCTGCGTGTGAGCAGCGCTGGGCTCCCTCCAGGTGTTACTGAAAATACAGACACAAAAGGCCACGCTTTCTGTTGTGACATATGGACACCATTCCACAACCTTCTATGTACATCAGTGGTTCTCAGCCCTAGTGGTTCTCAGTCACCTGGGACTGCTCTCAAACACCCTGGGACTGCTCTCAAACACCCCGGAACTGCTGGAAAGTTCTCCTGGTGACTCTCGTGGACGGCCAGCACTGAGCATCCAACTTCAGCTTTTCTTGAATTTGGGGTGCTCTGGTTGAGAACTATTCACACTGTGCTCCAGGAGGAGGTGCCTTGGAGACCAGCATACAAAGAGCAAAGAGCAGGGCTCCGGGGCTGGCATCCTTCTGACTGAAGCGCAGCAGCTTTGCTGCTTCTGTCTGTTTAACGCAGGGGTTGATGCGCTACGGCTCCTCCAGCTGCCGCATGTCTTTGTTGTGTTGGAACACAGCCAGGCCCATTCATTTAGAGACCGTCTACCACTGAACTACGGTGGCACAATTGAGTTGAAAAGGAGACCTGTGGGCCTCACAAAGTCCTGAATACTATCTGGTCCTTTACAGAAAAAGTTTGCTGGCCCCTGGTTTTACCAATCAGAATTCTGCAAATTTCTTTCGAAGTAGGTGCTCAGTAAGTATTACTGGAATGAATGA